TGGAGATGACAGGAAAGGGGCAGTTAGAACCAAATGGGTAACACCAGAACTTAGCCATACAGAAGGGAAGGTGCTTGGTGTACAAATTCTCAGGTGCTACACAGTCAGAAGCGAATCACAGTTTCAAAATTTGAACAACTTTTTAAAAAGAGCAAAGCAACAATAAGAACAACTCCAGCAGTCCCTTGATTCCCTTCCCTCGTTACAGTGTATTCGTTTTAACACCCATTTCTACTAAATGAGACTCAGTGACATGCTAGTAAGTCTGCAGTAGGGGACCCCGTGACCTCCCTCTGTCCAAATTTTCTTTACCATCTGTCACTTGAGGTAAACTGAAGGCCTGATTCTCTGCAAACTGGCTTTTTTTTTTTAAACCTATGTGAAGTTTTAATGTGGTTTATCACATGACCTATAAATTTCATATTAATTCATAATATAAAAGTCATCTGAGGAAACTAGTTGTTCAGGTACCACTGTCTATACAGGGTAAAGGTGAGTTCATAACAAACTTGTACAGAACATATACAAACAGAGTATTATGAGACAAAAACACCATGAACAGAATTAAGAACTCATTTCTCAGAGTGCATATGAAAAAATACCCACAAACTCACAGTACAGCAAGAGAAAACCAAACTACTGGAAATAGAGCATTACATAAAAACTTTTTGAAAATTCCAAAAGTTTACATCTCTGTAAAAATATTCAAGGTGTCATTATTTGGCCTAAGAGTACACCATTACAGAAGGAAACACTAGCATATCACAGCTTCATGGTCATAGGATGTCTACTTTATACAACCAGCAGCTCGTTTTCATAGCTGTCACAGTAGAAAACACCCTTTGCAAGTGACAGGCAACCCTCCTACTGACATCTGAGATGACATTTTAGAGATGAGCAATGTGACATGAGTGCAGAGCTTTGTTTTGTTCAAGGGCACAGAATGATCTACATTTCCACATTATTTCATTAACCACCACAGGTTAGAGTAAAAGAGGATCCAAGACTAGAGTAACATTAGTTGGGTATAAAAAAAAAAAAAAAAAAAAGGCAAAACAATACTGTAATTACTGACTGATCCCAAATTCTATGAAGGACTCCTGTGTGACACAAGAAATTCTTCCTCAAATCACAAAACATAATTCAATTCACCGCTGACATGTGACTCTACCTTCTATTTTGTCACCACCATATAATAGTGTTTAGAAATATTATCAAGCTAAAAAAAAATTTAAATTTGATTTCAAAGTTTCCTGTCAGTTTTGCCAGCTCAGCTAAAAGTTTGGAAATTCTTTTAACAGTTTTTTTTCTTTCTTTCTTTTTTGCTAAGAACACAAAAGTGAATTACAGAGTACTTAAATTTTTATGTGATTTTTAAAAAAAAATACACAGTAGAAGTGTTGTAGAGCTGAAATAGCTAACCAACACCCTCAATGCATTTTTAAAAGGCACCAATATAAAATTTTATAAGTATTTAATACATTAAATTCAGGATTTAAGAGACCAGTTACTGTATATTTTAATTATTTTGCAGAAACTGGAAGACTAAAATTTTATAAAATAACTTTCATATATACAAGATTAAATTTACCCCTCACTTTTTTTCCCTTTTGGATCTGGGGAGTTTTTGCTGTAGAATAATCATTCATACAGTACTTGTTAAGATAACATATGAAATATAATTGACGATGACCACAAGTCTACAATTTTATATTAAAAATAATAATAATAATCCAAGGCTAAAAAATGTGTAGTCAGGTAACTTTGATAGTCTAAGTGCTGTCCTGAATCGAGGGCCGGACAGCTTTCCTGGCCCTCTCCAGCTTCTTCCGTTCATCTTTCTATGCTAACTTACCTTTCAGAGAGAAGATGAAGTAAGACTTGGAAAATACAAACTTGGGTCAAAATTAAGACACACAAACAAGACCTCAAGGTCTTGTGAGGTGCACAACTGTGATGTGCAATGCACGAACACAGGTCAAAGTTGCTAAATCATTTCCTGCATTTTCTTCCTCTCCAAAAAGAACTTACATTTCTTTAAATTTTCACTAGTATCTTTTTATTGATACATTGTTTTTTTGTTTGTTTGTTTGTCTCTGGATATAGATAATGGAGTCTTGGGATTTACGTATCCACTAGCCCTAAAGACACCCTGACAATTTTGGGATTTTTTTTAACGTGCTGAAGTGGACCTAACTGCTGATGTATTTTTAACTGTACCTTTGACTGTAAGCCTTTGTAACACATCTGGTGACACCAATTGCTTCTTTTTGTGAATTTTCATGACAAGAATGTGTAATAGACCTGTGCATGCAAACTATAATGCATTTGAACAGTCACCTGTATGCATGCTGGCTGGACAGGTACTGTATTCCTAAATCTGAATGGTTGGCCTTCATGTCCCCAGTTTTATCCAGAAAACTCTTAACGGAATGTTTGAATGACGCTGTTTCATGCGTCCTTCTGCTACCGCTCGTGCTGCCTGCTCGCACTGCTCTAAAAAGCCCTTTATAACAGCAATCCATCAGTAGTACAGAGAGGCAGAGTGTTTCTCCAGAAAGAACTGGCAATAAAAAAAATCTGGACAAAATTAGGGCAAAGTCAGCTGATAAATTTATGCCAAAGCGAAAACACAGAAGATAACCCATTTTCATGCTCCTCAAACACTCCCTCAACTGTAAAATCTCACCTAAAGAAACTGGGCTTGTAACTGTTATGTAAATTAGGCTTGTTTGGTTCCAGGCCCTCACCCTTACTTTTAGCTACTACCATGTTGCTTATTTTCTTTGGTGAAAAAGAAGCAAGTACCATCACTGAGGGTCCCTCAGACAGCACTATGTCCACAAAATTCATTGTAACCCACAAATTTTTAATTCTGCTTGTCCACATTTGTTCCTGTCACTCCTGAGCCATCTACTTCTTCCTGTACCTTGGGCCATGCAGCTGAAAAAATACTAGTGTTTATGTACAGCCAATATACCATCATAGCTCCCTCTTTTGAACAAATCAGGTTTTCTAATAAGATGGAATCAGAAAAGTAGAGTATATTGGTACCATCTCTGTCGGGAAAGTACACAAATCTTAGGTACACCTAAATTCAGTTTCCTTCTAGGGCAAGAAGATTTATTACTGTTAATACAATAGATAAGAGAAGAGAGAATGAAGAAAATTGATAGAGGATGCCAGCAGAAATTCACAAAAGGCCAAAATGAACACACTGACAGGTATCCAAATGCTTCAGAAAAATAAAAAAATCATGAGCCTTCAAATTTTTTACCTCATTCTAAAATAAACTTCCTTTCCACTGCGATTCGAGGGTGTGCAGGGTAATGGCAATATGGAAGGCTTCACAAGACTTTTATCTATGAGTAAACTGTGTTTTCACAAAGTACCAAGGGATGAAAAAACAAACAAACAAACAAACAAACAAACAACCAAAAGGCCCAACAGTTGGCATTTGATGTAGCTCTGTTTTGGTAAATCCTCTTACTTGTAAAGGAAGCATTTGGACATTTCTCTAGAAATTACCAAGATAATGGTTAGTAAAAGAGCCAACTGAGAACGTGAAATATGAAAGTATATGCCTTGTGCAAATTAAAAGAAGACAGAAAATTCTCTACTAAGGGATTGAGATTCATTTCTGACAATGACTTCCAGAGTTGAATTTTTTTTTTTTTTTAAAGTGCGGGACCTTCACCTGAAGACTGTCACATTCCCAACTCCAAGAAAGGTGAAAGAAAACTTTGTTGTTCTTTTGTTTGACCTGCAGTGTGACATTAAGGTAACAAAGAAGTTCCCTTTGTCTCCAGCCAAGAAAGGTAGTAGTAATTCTTATTACTGAAGAAACAGTGGAATAAACAGCCCTACTAAATGAAAGACCTTCCAACGTTCAAGTTACCACAGTCAGGTCCGATTAGCAATTGCCCCAAGATTTGAAAAGAAGCAGCCGAGAGCAAGGCTTTTATTTATTGTTTTTTAAAAAACACCTTCTAGTCTAAGAGTCAAAGAGGAATGGACTATGGGCAGAACACTGAGTGGTCACAGCTTGCAGAGAAATACCAGAAAAGGGTTCTCAGAGAGGGGATATCCCCCTACTGTTAGCCTAATTACACTTTTCTGCTGACTGGTTAACACTGATTCAATGCTGATAAAGTGACGATCGTAAACACAGCTTTAGAAACAAATAGGTAAACTAGGCTGCCATCATATTAAAATTAAAAAAAAAAAAACTCTAATTGTGAAAAGCAGAATTCTTCCTCAAAATTACTGACCGCCTCTTACCCACTCTTAGCCCATAGGGTATTCTGAAAACGACATAAAAATACTATTTGTTACAGGTGTTAAAAGTAAGGCTGCCAGGGTGTCTATAAAATGCCAGTCATCAAAACTATGGAAAAACAGTGCGCAAGTTTAGAAAAATAAGATCAAAGGCCCTCAGATGTATTGTAGTGGCCCTTAATTACCTGTAGTTTAAAAGTTTTGCTATATGTTACAGTGTAAAACATACTGAGTTATAAATTCCGTAGGGGAGGTAAACATAGAGCCCACAACAATCCAACTCATCCCAGGAGTTATTAAAAATAACAATGTGTTTGTGTTGCATGATCTCTAAGAACAGAACATAAAATGGGTTTACATTTTGAAACATCTTCTTTGAGAGCAAAATTACTTAGACTGGTTTAAATTACCAAGGCCCTACCCAGAAAACTCTCAGCTTTCCTGCCTTGTGTCACAATTCTGAACATGAGCAGGAAATCAGAATACCTTAGATGAATCTCTATGAACCAAGTGATTTCCTAAAGTATGATAGGCCTTAATATGGATGCATGGCCAAAACAAACTGCTTTAAACGCCCCCCCCCAAATAAACAAGCCAAGGTATCAGTGAACATCCCATCCCTTTTCTCTTGTTTCTTCCTTATTGTAATTAGGCAGAGCAGATGATGTTTTGTCCACAAAATAAGAATTATAGACAGTGACAGTATCAAGAAGAAAGCGTGTCACCGTCCGGAGGACAGTGGGACTGTAAGTGCAGTATTTCTTCATGTGCAGTTCTTCATAGGGGTCCCCTTTGGAATGAAAAGGCCTAGTGGAATGTATGCTCCCCTCGAACGATGTGTGATGAAAATTCGTAACGGTCCTGGCTTCTGTAGCCACAGATGTTGCATTCCAGTGGGTCCCGGTAGCCATGGCAACCCATGTGAATGGTGTACATGACATGATCTAGGAAAAGGACTCGGCAGTGCTCACACTTGAAAGCCCTTATCTGTTCTCCTTCTCCATTGAAAACCTTATAGATGTCCTTCAGCGAGCCCTTGGGAGCCTTGGTAGCATCCAAAGCCTTGACATCCTCCTTCATGTAAGCTGGGCTTTGTTTCCTCTTGGGATTTAAGGCAGGGTTTCCTTGGTAGGACTGGTGGTCATCATGGCTGCTTTCTGAGTCAGTAGAATCGAGGCAGCTATTGCTGGGAGAGGCCTCTCTTTCCTGGGGTCGACTCTTTGGTCTGATGAGAGAGATGGGGCCATCCATGTTGTTTTCGTGACTGTCAGAAGTTTCCCTGCTAATGGGTCTTTCTATCCTGTTTGGATGATAGACCTGAGAATAAGCTGAGCTTATGACTGGGGCCACCTCGGCGATTGTGCTTGGTGCATGCTGCATCAGGGGGTGAAGGGCCTCAGCTCCAAGGTAGGTGATTGCATTGTTGATGGCTTGGTCCATCATGTGAGACTGCATGAGCTCAGCCTCCTTCTCGTACGTTAAGTTCATATCAAAATGAATATCTGGGTAGCTGAACCGCATAAGCTTTTCCCCTAAAATTTAGGAAATGAAAAAGGAGGAGAGGGAAAGAGAGAAAACACAATAAAGTGAGTGAATGGATTAAAAATATTAAAAAGGTGCAAACTTAGCTAAACCCTACATTTTAGTGAACCGTGTACCATTTTACTCTTTAGGTCAGGTGTTTGGGCTCCTTTAATTCTGTGGAGACGTCCATGCAGAGAATCTGTAACAGGCCATTTGTGCTTGTTCTAATGTCAAATGTATGTAGCCTGAAAGGTGTACTTTTTATCTTCGTTTTAATTTTATTAAAATGTTCATTTGCATGAAGCTCAGAATTATAAGAGAAAGAATAAATGGCAGGTGAAAATAAACAGACTATGCTCATTTCTGCATATCTCAAACACAGCAAGTGAGCTGCAAATACTGTAAGAGCATAAGAAATCTGGTTATAGCCTATGCAGCTTTACTTTTGAGCAGGCTAATTTGGTTGATTTAGCTACTACTTTAGAAAAGAAGAGTCAGAGAGTCAATACATGTCAGGCAATAGAATGTGAACCATCATTATTAAATTAGTTTTAAAGTTGTATCACCTGATAAAAGAAATGGGACCAAGGGCTACTTAAATATATTATAAATTACTTCCAAAAATACTTGTTCACAAAGTATTTACGTTTTGTTTCTTGAAACTGGCAACTTTTCATTTTACACCAGATGTGTCCAGATGTGTGATGGCGACACTTGCATGCCTGTTGTTAGCTTCTGTGCTTTTTCTTGTTTGAAATATATTGTTTTTCTCTTAACATTTACTAAAAGAATAAATATTTTCCCCAGTATTTTATATTAACACAAGGTTTGAACACTCACCATAAAGCATTTGCAGGGCAGGGGGCGGAGGGATCAAACAGGAAACAAAACAAAACAAACAAACAAACAAAAAAAACCCAACAATATTTTTCTTTGTCAGAATAGTTTATTTTTTAACAGTTCTACCTTTAAAAACATCCAATATTTACCTAGTTATTTTGACAAAGAAAGCTAACAAATAAGGCTTCTTGAAATAGTTTGCTATTTTATGTTACAGTAGGTTGTGGGTGAAGGCAGATAGAAAATGTAAATCCTGTTGGAATGTACTACCTGTTGGGAAGAGGCAGCATCAACAAATTAGTGTTACTTCAGATTTGAAGAAATAGCTCAAATGTCCGTCAAGGTAATGACGGAGTAATAAAAACAACTGAAGCAAAAAAAAGGCGACTCCTCCCATCCAATTTAAGATACTGAGCCAGCTGTGGTAGCACACAACCTTAATCCCAGCATTCAGGAGACAGAGGCTCACAGTTCTCTGAGCTAAAGGCCAGCGTGGCCTACTATATAGATGCTACAGAGTTCTAGGACAGCCAAGGCTATACAGAGAAACCCGGCTTTTAAAAAACAAACAAACCCCCCCCCCCAAAAAAAAAAAAGAACTGAAACAACAAGAACAAAAAACATTCAAACAAAAAAAAATGTTAAACTTGAAAACTTTCAAAATTAAAGTAGGAAAATCTGACCCATGTTCTCCAAGAGCTCACATATAGAGAGAATGCCAGCTTGGCATGTATTTTATGCGCAAATAAGACGAATATTTAACTTGCTTAAGAGCAGTAAAGGAAGACTTCTTGAAAGAAGTGACATTCGGGTGGAGAGTGGGATGGTAAACATTGGCCAGAAAAAAGCATGGAGGTGCAGTTGCTGGCATGATGGCTCAGAAGCAAGAGCGGATGTCTTACAGATAAACAATTCCATTTCAAGATGGCAACAGTGGAAAATGTCGGCCATGATGAGTCAGATAACACTGCATGCAGCAGGAGACGGAGGGATTTTACCCAGAGAGCACTACAGCTGGCAGTACTTAAATAGGGAACCCTACCTGATGTGATACTCATTCAACAAGAGATTTCAGAAAAGTCGCTGTAGTGTGAGGCTTGGCCTACTGTGGCAATAGTGGCAACAGAGAGGGGTTAACAGAATGGCCAGCAGTTGTACAAATACAGTTACTAGGCCCTTGTGATGACCTAAACACAGACAGAAAGGGAAGAGTGAAGCTGAGTTTTCAGTCTTGGGAGTGCATGGCAGCAAGACAGAAAAGGGGATAGATTCAGTTTGGGGATCAGTACATAGGCTTCAATGGAAGAAACTCTTTAGGATGTGCATTTAGGACAATGTCTATGAAGGGCTCACTGGATTTAGAATCATGCAAGTGGGTCACAACCTCTAACCGAAAACTTTTGGTGGAGCCCAAGCAAGAAAGGCAGGCTTCAGGTACTAGAAAATGAAGAGAATGAAGAAAGGCATGGAAAAAGGCATTGAGAATCCTTTCAATGATTCTATTTTTGAACAGGAGAGAGCAGGCTATAGTACACGCATGGAGACCTACGATTGAGGGAAGGTTTTGCCTGAAGTTGGGAGAATTTATCATGAAGGCATTTATCACATAGGAAAGTGAGAAAGACAGAAACAACATGAGGACATGACAGGGGAACGGAGGAACACAAATCCCAGAAAGTAATAAAAGGCAACTCTATAGCGTTGGAGATAGTATAATGAAATCATCTCATCTTGTTCCCTGTGACTATAGATAGAAGATCTCTAAGGAGAGACAGACCAAGTGTGGAGAGTAGAGCCATGTGGAAAACGGCGCCGATGAAGAGTAGTGGAGAAGACCCTCCAGGGATACATTAAAGGAATGTCAGGTCAGTTACACGTTTACCTGAAGTGGTGTCATTCTTAGGGTGTCAGGAAATCTGTCAGAACTACTTCCTGGCATCTGAGACAGAGTATGGGAAAGACGCTGACTCATGGGACAGTGGAATATCACCAGAAGTAGGACAAGTCAAAAGAGTCAAGAATATTGGCATGAAGTGGTCAGAGGGATGAAGTCTGAACTCTAAGCTGCCTAACAAGGGCAGAATAGATGGACAGACAAGCTTAAGTCCCGGATCACAACCTGGAGTGTGTAGCAGGTTGAAGAGCAGCATTTAGCTGAGGAGCACATGAAAAGGGTTCACACTACGTTTGGAATGATGAAAATTTCCATTCTAAGAGCAATCATAGAAAGAGCTACACAACTGTTGTAGTTATTGTTTGCTGCTTATTACTGGAACAGAAAGGAAAGCTGCCATGATGTCATGGAGTACAATCTAGAATATTGAATTGGCCTCATACGATGTACGGCTCTTGGGGCGTAGTTTTGTGTACTGTGTATTCAGATGCTGATTCCTGTGCCCAAACATCTGGTTGCAGTCCAGATGTGGGCACTGTCATTTCTATTAAGACTCTCCTGTCTCAATGTTGTATAAAAATTGTTCTCCATCATCTCTGACTCGTTAATAAAGAGCTGAACAGCCAATAGCTGGGCAGGAGAGGAGAGTTGAGATGGGAACTCTGATTCCCATTAGGAGGTCCCAGGTGGAGAGGGGTAGAGGAGAAGGTCATGAGGAGAGGCCATGAGAGGGCACCATGAGGAGGGTACCATGAGGGAGGCAACATGAAAACAAACACGTAGCAGGAGCAGCCAGGAAGAGACTAGATGGCAGGTAATGGAGAACGTGGCTGGGAAATAGTCTAGACCAGACAGACAGGTTAGAATAGATGAGTATCTTCCCAGCTATAAAGCTTTGAAGCTTATAGATAAATGTAATAATTCTCTTTGGGAGCAAGAACAGGTGCAGAAAAAAAAAAACTTTACACTTATTTTTACACTCATTCATTAGACTTGGTCCATGAGTGCTTACTAAATCCCATCAGTTGGTTTTAATGTGAAAAATGATTTGCTAATTCTTTACTTAAAATTCAAAAAAGCCTTCTCAGAAATTTAGTGGAATAACAGAATTCTCATAGCCCATTCCTCTTTAAAAAAACAAAGGAAAGGCTGTTTTCTAGCCACTGTTCAAGAATTGTCTCCTCCCATGTTCTCTAATGTTAGGATGTGAGAATCTGTTTTAATGGTTTTACCTTTCCTGTTAACCATATCACTAAACGAAAGATATTTTCCATATACAATAAATTATGGTTCTTTAACAATTCTTTCTAATGAACCTCTATTATTCATACATCCTTTAAAAAAAATCCAAGACCCTCTGTCCTCAGAGATGCTCCCACAACATGCAGCACAGATGCAGAATGGTGCCAACACTGGGCATCCCAGAGAATATCTAAAGGCTTGGAGATGAAAATGAAGTCTAAATGTCTGATATTTCATCTTCTCAGCTCAAAGATCATAGACTGGATGAAAAACAGGGACCAAAACACAGAACACAGATTCACATGAGAAACATTTTAGATGGACACTGCTACTTTATTTTTTGAAGGCAAAGTTTGGAAGCATAATTCTAGGTCAAATACTTAGAGAATTAACAGTAGGAAGGAAACCGTGAAAACAGCTGACACTTAGAGAAATGGAAAAGACATCACGAGTGTGGCCAGCAGTTTAGATCTCACCTGCTATTCAGTCAGAGTTAAGACAGCACAGTAGCTTTCACATATAATCTCACCTTCTGTATCTACTGATATACCATGTTGAGATGGTGTTTGCTGTCTAGTAGTCTTCCTTTAATACTCCCCATATACCCAAGGCCACATGTGTGTGTGTGTGTGTTTGTGTGTGTGCACGTGTGCGTGACGTACATGGATGGTCGTACGTAGAGTGGGAGAGAATGATGGAGAAAGACAGATATTTTTCTCCTATTATGGAACACACCATGCAGATGTCTCCCACAGGGACCCTGTCTTTTCCCTTGTCAGTTACCAGGCGAAGGATCAAATCGCCTGTCTGTTCTGCTTACCCACAAACTTCTGCGGAGTGGAGCTTTTGCGCTTTCCCATAGTTGCCGTGAGCTTCTCTATGACAGCAGGTCTCTCAAAAGGCACCAGAGAAATATTGTTGTCCATGATAGGCTCTTGTTCCTTACAGTCTTCCATGGGCGGTACTACAGAAAACCATATAAAAAAGCAATCTGGTGATTCCTTCTGCATTGACAGACACAGAGATATGTATGCTATCCCGATCCGTGTTATCCAAAATAAGTTTGTCTACTCAAATGAAAGGAAGTAAAAAGCACAACATTAAGGAATATTCTTTAATATTACATACACATGGCATGCGCACACACACACACACACACACACACACATCTGGTTTACTTTTTTGAATCTCTCTCAGATAAGTGATAAGAACACATATATCAATACATTCGTCTGGTTTCTCACTTCATTACTCTGAAGTATGTTTAGTGTAGATTAAAATTAACAGCACTTTAGATTGCACTATTACTGAAACTGTTTGACTTCATTTTTCTAAAATAATTTACATATGTCGCTTTGTTTTGGAGAAATGTGTGACAACTGCAGGATAGTTGAGGACTCTTCCCCCATTGTGGTTTCCTGCAGCCTTAAGGGCGGCTTCATGCACGCATTTATGTGTGTGTGTGTGTGTGTGTGTGTGTGTGTGTGTGTGCGCGTGCACGCCTCTGGTTCCCCACTTGTCTGTGCATAGTAAACTGTAGTAGCTCTACAGCTTTAAGTTATTTCTGAAAGCAGCCCTTCAGCAGGATAAAGGAATCCATGTGCAAACTGGCGCACGGGCTCACTGACTACTGCCCTAACTCCCTCAATGGGCTCCGTGCAGCATGCTTCTCTCAGTTGCTCTTGGCTTCGGGACTGACATCGCTAGGGTAGACAAGTGACTCATTTACAGGTAGCTTTTGAGTAAGAGTCCTGTTCCAAGATGTTTAACTAAGGATAGGCTACCGTCCCATACAGCTCAGAAGAGGAGTTTAAAATTAGTGCACAAAGGGCAGGCGTGAAGGTCCCATTGCTAGCGCTTTCCTCATTCAGCATACACCTTAAGGTGATTCATCTAGATTCTTCGGTTTGTAGAGGGCAGACCTATTGTGCGAAACCCAGTGCGTTCTAATCTATAAAGGGACCCCGCTGAGGAACAGTAAAAAAATAAAAAAAATTTAAAGCAAGGATGAAAGTGAAATGAATGTCTAAGTCACAGGACCTATGGAGTACCAAAACATGATGCTGATGAAAATTTTCAATTTTTGAAATGAAAAATATGATCAAAAAGGTTTCTTTATTTAGCCTTTTTTTTTTTTTTTTTTTTTTAAGAAATGAACAATCAGTATTTGGATAACCTAGTGGCTTCTCTAGAAGAAGTCAATCTTTAATCTACATTTAAAAAGGTACCCTCTGGCTTTGAGTAATAAAAATTCTCTAACAGCTGGATGTCAGTTTAGGAAAAAATACTCAAGGCACGCTCTAGTAACAAGGGCATTTTGTGCACTGATACTATTTGTGATAATATTGAGAGGAAAATTTCTTCCAAAGCATTATGTAAGATATTAAATGATCTATTCACAACTGTGAAAATAACTTTGAAGAAAATAAGAAAAAATTTAAAAGGAAAGAATTAAAAAAAAAAAAAAGAATACCAAGATGACCACTGGACTCAGCTGAGGAAGCCAGGAGGAAGGAGGATGAAATGGTGGCATCGATGAGGCAAGGAAACAGGTGTGGGATGCAGGCTGTGACCGATATTGTTACTCGTGTCTTTAGTAGTGAATTCATTAAGCACTGATTAAAGTAACTACACACTGGGAATGGTAACTCGTGCCTGTAACCCCAACACTTGGGAAGCTGAGGAAGAATTGCCATAAGTTGGAGGATACTCTGGGCTATATACTAAGTATGTCTCTCCCCCAACAAACAAACAACAAACAAACAAACAAACAACAAACCAACTTACAAAAGTACAAAGTAGTCCACCCGTAGACCAAAGAACAAATATAGCACAGGCCTAGATCCGATATGAAAAGTATTGGCAGCTCAAAAATTGTTGTGAAATTTGCCAAAAGGACAACGAAACCAGTTGATGGGGTTTGCCCCCAAAATTGAACATGCTAATTGGGTCTGAAATGAGTAGTCTGAAGTGTGGCAGTTTTGTTTTAGGTTTTACATTAAAATTTTCATATCTGCACACTCCTAACACTCAGAATGAAACCTGGGTGGGGACTGTCCCTCACCACATCCACGTCGACTCAGATGACTTGTCTCAAGTTCAATGAGGCTCATGTGAACTGAAAACAATGAGGATGACAGATTTTGGTCAATTTTCTACTTCACAACAGCTCTTTACACCAAAAGATGAATTTCCTGCCACACTGGCAATAAAAATAACGGGCAGAAACTTGGTGGCAAGTACTAAATTGAAGGTTCACTTTTGATAATCTATGCAATATTTTCAAGTCCGTCAGGAAACAGGTGTCCTTCATTTTACAGGCAGGGAGTGAAACGTGCAGAGATTCGAAGTAAGCTTTCTGTGCATCTCTACAGGCATAGAATGTCAATACGGGGAGGTCTGGATTTAGGGAATGCCTGCACTATGTTCTAATGTTTTGTAGATAGATTTTGAATACTGATGCCTTATAAAGCAGCTTAATAGCCTTGTAAGTTCAAAGACCTGATACTTTCCCCCCTTAATTATATAATCTGGATTTTGCCTTCATAAATGTGAATGCAATTTAGAATAATGTTTTGGGACATACACGGTTTAGAATGCAAAACAAATTTTCTATATATCTCATGTCTCAATTGTATTAATCACACGATGAGACTTTTATCCAGACCAGAGGTGTGTGTACACACGAGGATAGTTTCATTTGTCTGAACCAACTCCATTAACTCAGAATCTGTATTTGAAGTAATACCAAGGATAACAGTGTATTTATGTTTTCGTATCATATTTCAAACACGTGGATAAACAAACTATAAAGGCTGATCCATGAAAGTATTCCCAACAGTGCTTCTGTTAACCAAAAATTCCATCAAATTTGAAATTCTAAGAACAGACTTCATTTTCCTTCAATTCAGCCGATATTTGTAAGAGCATTTAATTTGCTTCCTAAATACGCCTTCAGTGTTCTACCCTGCTTCCTTGTCCTGGCATTGCTTTTCATCCTTTCCTTGGAATCATGCGTCCAGTCCCTGTCCCCTGCCCCAGGCAAACATCAAGCCTTACTCTACATTTAGATGACACTGGTTTTTATCACCCAGTGACTCCTTATCGATTCAAGTATGATATTCACAGTCTGGAGCAGCATTCAGTGCTTTTGCCCTCCCAGTCTGCTACTTCTGCCTTGCTTTCTGTTGCTCCTTTACTTAACTTAGTTGTCTGCTAATGATCTTTGATACCCATACACCTCTTCTCTGCATGGAAATATACAGTCCGTGGGCTGCCAGATACATGGACTCTCTCACACTTCTCCTCTTCAGATCTGACGGTATGCATGTTTGAAGCTTTCCTCAACTTTCCCATCAGCTAGCTACCTGTCTCTGCTCCTGGAGAACTTCGCAGACGTCATTTCTACAGCAGTTGCTTCAGTTCTCTTTGTTACTTCTAATATGGATTGTTCACTAATTGATTGATAGGCATATCAGGTGTGACCTTTTATGTTTCTATTTCCAGACTCTTCCATAGCAAGTCTTTCATAGTCTTTTCTGAAGTGAGACTAGCTCCTTTCCCTTCAGACTCTTCTTCCTATGAAGAGCCAATGTGGGGACAAACAAGTTTTGGAAAGAGAGGCTAGGAAAAAAGAAGTCTGTCAGAAATGGAGTAGATGGCAGCTACACTGATAAAAATCCTTCACTCACACCACAAACAGAAAGGGGGAACAGATAAGATAAGGGAACAGGAAGAGAGGGAAGGAATAAATCCAAATTTCTGAGGTGCAAGACAAATTATGTACATGAGACAATTAACCCATGCTTTTTCCCGCCTAGGGCATCTGTCATCTGCTGCCCTATACAGTTTCCCACTACCTATGTTTATAGAAGGAGATGTAGAATGCTCTCAGACTATCACTATGAACCCAGAAAGGCACAGCAGGAAATGGCATTAACACTGTGGCTGAAGCATAGTCGAAGGTTGATGCACTATCTAATATTTAAGAATAAATGCTAAAGCCTATAATATCAAAACCTACCAATATCTTTACTAATCCCTGGCCTGTCCCTGCTGTACCCAGTACCCTGTCTTGTCTCTTTCAAGCTCATCCTTGTTGTGTTCTAGGTTCACCACAACTCTGTGAAGAGCCTAACAACCTGGGAAACAAGGAAACATATTCACTACCAAACCCTCAGTTACTTAGAAGACACCTCTTTATCTCTCTACAACAGATAACACTAATTCTGTGACAGGTCATATGCCAGTAGACAGTGCTAATTAAAGTTGTATATGTATATCTTCTCTACCACAGTAGAAAGGTATGAGAAATGCTGGCTTTTGTTTGAGTATACATATAACTCAGAATTCTGTAAGTGAACGAATGGAAAAATAAATTAATAGAATTGGCACATGTTCTCTAATCAAAGGCCAGAATTGCAACAGGGAGACATCCCATGGAAAAACTAGTGAGGACGCTCTGGAGCACCTTTAGAGGGCTTTGGCATGGCGCTAAGCCTCCTTCAGTCTCCTGCCTCTAGTTGGCCCCCAAACTAACAATCTAAAACAGCAGTTCTCAAACTGTGGCTCACGACCCCTTCGACAACCCCCCTCTCACATTACAACTCATAACAGTAGCAAAATTGCAGTTAAGGAGTAGCAGTGAAAATAATTTTATGAAGGAGTGTCACCACAACACAAGGAACTGTGTTAAGGGGTCACAGCATTAGGGACGTTGAGAATCTCTGTTAAAACAAAGCAGTGTTCTCGGCAGGCAAGCACAGCGTCCAGCGCTCAACAGTGATGACATTAAAGAGAATGGCCCACCTACTTGTTCTTAGTATTAATGCACTAAAATCGAATAACAAAAATAACTGCTTCAGAGACATTTATTGTGTAATCTATTACTCTTAATTCTCACAGCATACCTCTGACCAACACAGTCAAACACCACGTAGTCAGACTAGATATATAAAGCTCCGAGGCCCACAGTTGTTTAACCTCGATGCTCTGGGTCCTATGTTATCCTATTCATCCAGGTGATGCAAGCTTACAATACCAACTCCACAGAGGTAGACACGAATAGGTCTTTGAAGGTGTTAGTTACCAGTGATCATAGTATAAACATACATGATTTAGTCACAACAATGAATCAATCTAAATCAGATTATGCAGTTGATAGAACCTATTATTTACGTAAGGCCTCAAATTGTTTAAAGTAACAAAAATATTTAAAATTGCGCAAAGAAATCACAAAATCAAAACCACAAAATCACGAACTGCGTAATGAGCACACTTCCACAGTATACATTGTATTAAAAAAAAAAAAACTAAAAAATCCCATAAACAATCCTTGATTTGTCTTTATCTAAGTCAATGAATGTTTACATTTTTAAAGCAACTGAGGCAAATTATACCACATAGTATTAGTCAATCCTTTCTAAATAATAATTTAACCCCCCCCCCCACAAAACCATCAACTAAGTCAGGACTTTTGTTTTTATTTGTATGAAATCAACTAGTATAAATAGTAAGATAAGGGAGACACTGAGGATTTGAAGAGCTCACATTCCTTACTGCTTTTTTGTTAGACTGACTGAATTAACACTGTAGGAGCCACCACTCTGTCCTCCATGGGACCACCTTCCGCACTATGGTAGTTTAGTGTTAAGATGTTTTTCTGACAGAATGTATTTTTTTGGGGGGAAGAAGAGGGTCAAATTTTGGTCTAGGTTGTTTTTTTTCCATATGTCTTAATTAATATTTCTATTTTCCCAAATAAATTATGAGGCACAGTTTCAAGTTGCACTACCCCAGAGGGAAGCTCTAATGCCAACAGCCTCTGCACTCATTCAGGAAACTCGGAGACTTATGTGGAACCATTTCAACAGAGAAATTCAAGAGAAGACTAAGCAGTACTTTCCTGTGGCATTTTGATACAGCTTTAATGCTGGCTGTCACTACTGTGTTAATTCAAACACATGCTATCAGAACTGATTTGGGAGTGCCATGGAAACTCAATGATCTTGTTCGCAGTGTGTTCCAAAACAGCTCATGTCAACTGCCGAGGAGGATAATCCCATACAAAGTAAATGTCCTTGGAAACTGTGTGAGGCACAGCCAGGGTTTGTCTTCCTGTAGAAAGGGAGGTGGACCGATTTAACCCACGGGAAGGACTACACAAAGCAGACTCAATCGGAGGGAACAAAAATCACAAATGCATATGTACCCACCATGATGACTCATGACCTGCCCAGCAGCCTCCATGCTGACATTCTGCAGATAGTTGTGACACCGTTCCTTGTGCTCCTCCAGTGAGCTGCGCTGCTTGTAGCTTCGTCCACAGTAGTTACACTTGTGAGGTTTACCCACTGTGGAGAGAGTCAGGGTTAGTGTGCGCCTCTCCTCAGCAAATGAACAGCTAGCTTCTGGTAGTTCGGAACAGACATTTATATGCTCTTCAGACAGTCTCTTCCTCCTCCACACTCCAATTTAGGCAAAAACAATAAATTCTCTAGTGAAACCAAAAGACAGCAAGAAAGTAGGAAGATTGCACCTCTGCGAGCAGGGGAAATACTGAATCAACTAATGCTTTGACTGTATTCTCTGTATTCCCACCCATGGTGGCTGATGATCACTTTTTATAGTATGAGACTCTTAGCTCATCGACCTTCACACAACTATGCCGGGTTTCACTCATTAAAAAGACGGATCAGGGCTATCCTGCGTAGATGGTAAGGGGTGTGTGTGTGTGTGTGTGTGTGTGTGTGTGTGTCTTGCACGAGTTTTAGTAAGTGCTGAGAATTTTTTTGGAGAAAAACTAAAAATGTAACAGCTTGAAATGTCACTGTTTAAATAAAAAAGAAGAGATTATTCACGGGCACCAAGAAAATAAAAAAGAACTCAAGTGTTGAAAAAAAATTGCAGATATAAGTAGGGAGAGGGTTTGTCTGCTCTTTGCACTGAGCAGTAACTTCACGCTGCAAAACTTTGCAACAAGTGCACATGCTCTTCTGCGCTCATTCTGCTTTGTGAGAGCGAGAAGCACTCTCCGGGTGCTCTGAGTCGGAGTATTAACAAGAACCACTGAAGCTCTGACTCGTTGAGTCTCCACAGGAATGGCGTCAATGGTTGCTTGCAGAACATCTCAGATTATGGAAGGGCTTTTTTTTTCTTCCTAATAGTCAGAGAGCCACTATTTCAATACAGCTATTAAAATATGTACTGTGATGTTTATAGGAAATAACTTTGAAAAACTCATAGGAAAAAGAAAAAGAAAAAGAATCTTATGGACTGAGGGATTTTTTTTTTTTTTTTTTTAAGACAGGATCATCCATTACGCTGTCATGGAACACTTTGGTCCCTGGTTTGACATGGATCCTGAACAACGGATACCAGTAAGTGCTCAGGGCTAGAGCCCTCAGCCCTGAAGGACACTGTGAATCAGGCCAGTTAACCTCCTTGGACTCCCTGAGGAATCACTTAGTTTTGCCTGGAGAACAAATGGCAGCCTCATTTTTTATAGTAACCGTTTCACTGCCAGGAACCATACAAACTCAGGTCACAAGGAAACTGTGGTACTGTAAAAAGTGGGCACGCTCCATGTTGCCTAACCTTTGCACTGCCGATCAGAAAAACAACAAATCCAAGTCCAAGCCGTGCATTCTATTCAATGACATACACATCAAAATCAATTATTAGATAATGTAAATTTAGTAAAGCAACTTTCATAAAAGTAATTTAAGGCAAGGTTAGCCATTTAAAAATGCTGGGGGGGGGAGATTTCTGTATTCATAGTTCTACTTCTGGGGAGTATTAACTTCTGTTAATATAGTTGTAGAACATCGTCTTCTCTGAGAGCATTAAGATATAAGAGAATATTTTAGATGAAAACAGTTTAAATAATAGGGATCTACATGTAAGTATATTATAAGATGTGGCACTACCTAACAGTGCTCTCATTTTCTAATACCATAGAAACTGATGACATTATAAGGAATAAATCTGCTAACCAGTTAATACTCATCACACACTTTAGACTGCAAGTACAGTCCGCTGAGAAATAGTTCACTCACTGCCCATTATCCCCGGTGTTAGTTTTGTTGCACTTGATCCTATAATATCAGTTTTCTGTGTTTTCAAACATTTTTTTCTCCATTTTACTTTAAGTGTCCTTTATATTATGTCAACCTAACTGAAACATGGTTCTATGCTACAGCTCTCAACTTCTAACCTCTGTAACCTCCCAATATATTCTATATACTTAAAAAAAGAAGGACAAGAATAATTTCATCTGAGTTTCTTTTCCTATTGCTTTAAGGATATGTCCTGACAGAAGCAACTCAATGGAAGAAATGGTTTATTTCAGCTCACAGGCCTTCCTGGGAGGTCATGTGGCCCCACACTCAGGAAGCAGAGAGCAAGGAACCTCAGTGCTCACCTTTCTTTCTTCTTATGCATTCAAGTTCCCAAGCCCAGTGAGTGCTGCCATAGCATTTTAGCATGGATCTTCCCACTTCAACTACCCTCATTAACATGATCACTCAAGATGACCCCTCAAGTTACAGTCATTCTCTGTCTTGTCAAGCAGACAATCAACATTATCTGTCACAACATTTTTACTGAAGCCAACTCATTTCCTATCCTCCCTCTTTTTTGAAGCCTACTTCATATGTTCTAATTCTTTCTCTTTTAGTCATAGATTTATTTTACAAAATACTGGTCCTTGCTCTTCATCCCATTCTGTGCTCAGTGACATCAACAGCAATGTCGCTCACTTTTAAAATTCAGTTTTAGGAAGCATAACCTCCTCTAGTCATCACCTCTTCATCTCCACTTTATATCAATAAAACAAATATTGGATGACAAGCTGGAGTCTGAAAAGTCTTATTGTAATACTACTCTATCTCAAAGAAAGTTGCTCTGGAAATACTCTACACTTTTTTTTCCACAGCTCTCATTTATTGAATACATATTTATAAAAATATAAAACAGCAGGAACCAATACAGTGGTGGAACTGACATGTAAAATACAGAACCAATTCCCATGGTTCCCATGTTGATATTACAGTTCGGTAAGGACAGAGGCTCAATTTACTAGCAACATACTACAGATTGGGGTAGGTTCTGCAGCGTGAAAGGATGAAGTGGTAGTATACCATGCACAATCTTTAGGAGAAGATGAGGTGGGAACAGGTGCTTCCTGTGGTGGGTGGGAGCCTCCGTGTGGGGCCGGGAAGCAGGCTTCAGTCCTCTGGAAGGACAGCAAGTAGTCTTAGCCACTAAGTCACCACTCCATCATGTCTATTTTACTTTTAATTTAAAGATTGTTTTTATTTTTTACCAGTTAGACATGTAAAGAAAACCGTAAGTGAAGAAAAACTAACAAAACTAAAAAGGTGTTAATGAAATACATTATGTCCTTCCTGTCTGGGCCCCTCAGACCAATCATAATCCCCAAAGCAGTATTTTTCAACTTCTAGTGATTATATTCTATTCTTAAATAATACACATGTCTTGTCTTTTGTTCATCAGAGTGAGAGATGATACATTGCCTCTGGTAAGTATTCAACCCCCACCTACAAACATCCTTTGATCTCAAAGTACATGACAATTTCAAATTAATAGTATAAAAATGGAAATGTCCATTATTAATGGAGATATTAATCATAGTATACCATATAGCCGAAACCAATTATATTTCGGGTCTTGTACAATTTCTAATTTTTCCTAGCTCTAACAGCTGTATTTTTTTAAATTCCTCTTTGTGATTTTGTGTTCAGTGCCTCTTTTCCCTTCCCACCAGATGTCTCCCACCACATAATAATTGTTCTAAACATTCTGTCCCAAACCATTCTCAGGTTTACTCCATGCTGCCTTCCCTTCTTGCCTTCTCACAGTCAGGTGTACTCCAAACTTGCCAGAACCCATGGAGTTGTTGGGATTATTGTGTAATTATAGTTTTGGCTACGGTCATTGATTCTCTATGACTGGCCTCCCTGAGTGCCTGAATCTAACAAGCACGTTAGATTAAACTATATTAAACTATATTCTCTTCCTTTCTTCAGTATAGGATTTCTAGGTTGGAAATAGTTTCCCTTTATATTTTGAAGATTTTTATTGCATTGAAGTAGTAATCTTCAGTTTCTTTTAAAATACCTGATATAAACGTGACCTTATATGTAGCCTGTTTACTGCAAAACTCTTCACATCTATTAGTCTTTAAAGTTGGAGTGTTTCTGAAATACTAATTGCATGTCTTTAATCTAGAGTTTAGATGCATGCCCTTTGCTTTTAATAAAAGTGTGCATCATATCTAATACTTATCAAAATTCTACACATATATGTATAACATGGAAATATATGGCTATATACATGTTGTTATTAAAGAGTGTGACTCTTAACCTTTATGTATGTATAAATTAATAGCGCTTTTTTGAAAGTAGGGATATCTACTGTTCCATGTCATTTATAGAAAACAAATATGTGTTCTGACCAAGACAATCAAATGGCCACTTAGTATAGTACATTTCTAGACTATATTGCATTCTCTCTCTTCATAAATCAGAAAATTAGGATTTGCTAAAAGTCACCCAACCTAGCCTTTTCAAAATTCTTAGTGTTTTTTAAATGCCCACCCGCAAAGAAATTTAAATCGTCAATTGTCTTTTCCTATCACATATATGAATACACCTGATTTCTTTTCAGTATATTATAGAGATAGCTGGATTATCATTTACTCTACAGCAGAGCTGGGGCATTGTGTGTGGAGTGGGGTGTTAGAAGAACATTTGTTAAACTGTACAAAATTTCAGTAAAGTAGGAGGAATAAGCTCAGAAGATCTACTGTAGAATGTGACGGCTATAGTTTAATATATTTTTGAAAATTGCCAGGAATGCAGATCTTAAGCGTTCCAACCAGAAAAAAAAATAATAAAACCACAACAATATAGACTTTTGAGCAGTGATAAATAGCTTAAAGTTAGTGATTCAGCAATGTGCACACACATCAAAACAGTCTTTTGTACATGCTGTTATCTTTTAGAATAATTAACTTTTAGAAAAAAAATAAATTTGGTTTATTTGTATTGGCCTTGAATTTTGAACTTAATGAAATCATTCAGCACTTTTCATGTTTTAGTAGATTCCTTGGAGCTGCCAGGCAGGTTACTGTATCATCACTTAAGGCTATTTTCCTGACCTGTTTCTACCCTGTCACACCTTGCAAGTCTTTTCTCTCCCTCCTGTCACTACATTGACTAAACTTAGGAGGGTGTTGAAGGAGATGGGAGAGATCCCTAATTTTCTTTTTCTTTTTTGCCTTTAGCATGATACAAACAGAAGGCTATTCATACATGAACTTCATGTAAGA